GTGAGGGCAGAGTAAGTGATGGCGGAGTAAGTGACGGCGGAGTAAGTGAGGGCAGAGTATATATAGTCTGTATACCATAGTCCTCTGTGCTTTGAGGTAAACATTTTACTACCCCCCTTCCCCCCCCCCCTTTGGCCAACTTGACCAGTATGGAGTATATGTGCAGGTAACCTGCCACGACATAATAAGTGTCAAGAGGCATTTTGCTCTTTTGAAACCATAGTGAAGTGGAGGTCAGTTTAGGGGTTTTGCAATATTTGAAAGAGTAACCTGTCACAGTCACTGATGTAATTCTCAATATTTTGCAGGATCATACCGGTATATTTAAAAACGTCATTTTCTCAGCAATTTTGACGAGGTCATTATCTGTACCTGGTCTGAAATGTTGGAACAATGTCAGGAACAAAGACGCCAAGCTGCCAGTAAAATGGCACATTGTCACCTTATACATGTACATGTATCTGTAATAAGGTTCGTATAAACCTTGCAGTTCTGGAAGGACATGAACCTTTACATGTACATGTGTGTGGGGCAAAAATGACGACATTGACACGGACTGTGCACGCATGCATCTGCTGAAAATAAACATGGTGATGTAAAAATGTACTTGGTATATTGTTTAGGATTTGTAACAGAAAAGTTTCATTAGAAATCCGATCTCTGATTGGTTGAGATGAGCCAATTAGGGAGTAAGAGTATTTAGTAAATTAATTTGGGATTTTTTTTCTCTTTTTTTCCCTTCCCAACGTGGATTTTAACACTGTAAAATACATGCCGGGAAGGGAAAAAAATCCAAAATTGATTTACATCTATCATCTTCCCGGCACAAATCCATCTTTGCAATAGTATTGAAGAGAAAAGCTAATGGTCACACAATCTGCCATGTGCATGTGTCAAGTTGACCCTGCATTTGAAGTACTTTGACAGACTTACGTGTACATGTACATGTAAATAACAAAGTCACATTTTTTCTCCTGATTTAGCCTACTCTCCAAATATAACCCAAATAGGGTCATGACAATCAAGAGACATTGCCCGAGTAACACTCTTTTTCGGGGCTGACCTTTATTCGTAAACATGGTATAAGTAACTAAAAACAGGGGTCCCGAAATTTGCAAACCCCAAATGTACATGTATTGTAACATGACCTTGTACCAGTCTGATTATGATTAAGTTGATAACACACTAGGATCAATGTGATTGTTAATTGTACATGTATGTAATTAATAAGCCTCCGCTGATGTCTCTCATTCCCCTACATCACTATCCAAACATGTAATGCACTCTTACACTGGCGTAGTTAGCAGAATGGTGTGCGTTGTGGGAAAACATGTAGTGACGGTATGCACTCTGAAACTGGCGTAGTTAGCAGAATGGCGTGTGTCGTGGGAAAACATGTAGTGAC